TGTATGTATGTATGTATGGATTGGGGAGTGCATGCAAAACCGCACGCCACACTTAGGCCCCATTGGGCCCCTTGTGCATCCTCCCATTACACACTCTGGTCACATCAACCAGCCTAAGGATTTACCAAAGGCTAGGACGGCTCCTAGAGGTGCATTCCTGATGTCATCTGTGGTCGGCCATTCCTCCCCGAAGGTCCTCATTCTGAGGTCGGTCAGAGAGGGGCAGTCACACAAGATGTGTTTAACCGTCTCGTCATCCTGTTCACAGGCTCGACAGAGAGGGGAGTCAGCAAGCTTCATGTTTTGAAGGTGCTTGTTTACCTTACAGTGTCCCGTGAGGAGACCTGTGGCAGTGCGAAGGGCACTTTTACCGAGCCCTACGAAGAACTGGGCTGTTGCGGCTGAAGGATATTTTAACAATTCCTTGGCGAGATGACAGCCCGGGGTACGGTCCCACCCGTTTAAAAATTTTTTGTGGGTAATGCGCTTGATTAACTCGATGTGAGTAGCTAAAGAGGGGGTAATTATCGGCTCGGGTGCACAGGGCGCTCTACCGGCAGCACGTTTGGCAAGCCTGTCAGCGTGGTTGTTACCCTTGGAGCCGGAATGCCCCTTAACCCACTGGATTCTGACACGATTGTATTTCGCGGCCTCCTCCAGTGCTTTGTGACAATCCATTACTACTGCAGACGTTATAATAACTCTGCTTAGAGCTAAAAGAGATTGTTTACTATCTGTGAAAATAGTGAAGCACAAACTTATTTAATTGAATTTTGCGCGAATTGAACTGATAGCTGCAAGGTGAAATATAAATACCTTAAAGGCAATAAACCACTGAACCACCGAAACCTCTTCAATTCAATATTAAAAAAATGAGTAATATATAAAACTCACTGATTTAATTGAATTTAAGCGGATTGAATTGAATTGCAGACATTCGGAAATATGTTACTTTTTATAAGGTCATTGTACATTGTTGTCATCTTTCCACTCGCTACTCTGCTGATGTCCTTGACAATCTCCGGTGTGATCCTATCTGGGCCGGGCGCCTTTCCATTTTTTTGCCTATTTGTGAGGTTTTTATCTCATCTTCTGTGACCTCTCGACACTCCGATTTATTTTTTACGTCCTCAAAGTTAAACGTTATCTTTTTGTAAGAAACGTTGTTTTCTGTCCGTAAAATTTAATAACTATAAAATTCAAATAAATGTTCAAACATTATTATTATTCTTGATAAGTCTTTGGCATTCCAGGTACCCAATATTCGACCATCTTCATTACGCAAAGTATAGGTCCACGGCGATAAAACTTTATCTATAACAAATGGACTGACGTATTTTGCCACTAATTTATTTGAAAAATAACGAGATGCAGCAGACATTACATAGTTCTTTTTCCAAACTTTTTACCAATATTGAATACATCAGGACGTCTTCGCAAATTATAATGATGCTCATTCTTTTTAGACATACAACTCATTCTACGTTTAACATCGGCAAATATTTGTATTAATTTCTTATTATTTATCGGATACTCGTGATCTTCTATTGAAATATGTTGATCGTACAATTTGCCATTCAAAATTATTTCCCGCCCTGAACAAATATAGTACGGTGTCATTTTAGTAACTTCATGCTTCGACGTATTAACAGCACAAGCAATCTCGCTCAGATTCACATCCCAGTTTCTTTGGTTTTCCTTACTATAAATCGACAATAAAACTTTCAAATTTCTATTAACCCGCTCACAGGGATTCACCTGAGGTGATAATGAGCATTTTGTCGAATTATAACGCCATACTCTTCTGCCCGTGCGACCAACTGTTTCGATCGGTACTGTGGTCCATTGTCATAAATGAGCAATTTCGGAACACCATATTTCAAAAAGCTTCAGTTTCCAAATTTACAACGATTTTCTCTGCAGTAGCAGTTCGCAAAGGCCGTATTATAACAAGTTTACTAAAATAACCGCTCACGACGAGTAAATATTGATTCCCATGTTTGGACTTGGGTAAAGGTCTGATCAAATCCGTTGAAATTATTTGCCATGGTCTATTACAAATTGGTTTCGATGTAAATTGTCCCGAAGGTTTCTTATTGGGATGTTTATAGGCAGCACAAATTTTACAAGATGACACAAACTTGGCGACATCATATCATTTTAGGCCATACGAATCTTTGAGTAAGCCTTCCTATAGTTTTACACACACCCACCCATATGTCCCGCTGTTGGTGGTTCATGTTCCGAAGCCATCAGTAATTTGCGCTTATCTTTAAGTACAACTAGCTTCCACGGTTCTTCATCTGTCAGCTGATTTGATGTTATATGTGATTATTAATATGATGTTATGTATATATTTGTATACCAGATCTGTTACATATATATCTTTATTTCAAATTATATGTAGATGCGTATGTGCGAGGATACAGAGTGGTTTGTTAAACTTGCTCTGGCGGAATCTCCTGTAAGCTTGATCACGAAGCCTCATGAGGTGTTTACGAATCGAAACAGTACGCAAAGGCGCATGACGATCAACGAGATGGTGTATTGTTTCGTTTAGAAAGTTAATTTTATCGTTAATATTATGGAACTGAAGAAGCTGATGCCAAGGTATAGAAGATAAGTCAGCAGAAAGCACACCAAAATTAAGATGCCGAAAATCACGAAAAGTTAATTTCTGAGGTATACTGTGAGTTGACTCATGAAATTTAACCTTGACATACACCAAACTGTGGTTCGCTATGTTATGGACAGACACAACACCACTATCCTCAACAACTGCATCATCAAAAACTATAACATGATCTATCAGCGTGGCCGAACTGTGGGTTATTCTTGTCGTATCCGTTATGATCTGACGAAGATTGAACTGCTCAATCAAGGAAGTGTACCGTGAGACCTGATCACCGTTAATGTTAAAAAGGTTAACGTTAAAATCACCAAGACAAACAAGAAATTCGAATTGAATTGTCATTGAAGAAAGAATAGATTCAAATTCCGAAAGAAATAATTAAAAGGGACAATCAGGCGGCCTATATATCACCCCTATAGCCACAGATACATCCCCCACTCGTGTCTCCATCCACAAGCCCTCCAGGTTAGAGGTGTTATTTCACAAAACAAAATGTCGCAACTTAAGCCGTTTCTAACATAAATACCTGCACCACCACCCAGTATATCAGTTCTACCACGAAAAATGCTTTTATAACCTTCAATTTCGAATAAGGAATTGTCAGAAGTGGGGTATATACGAGACTCCGAAACCGCAAAAACATCATAATTTTCCTGCAAGAGCAATAGTTTTACATTAGGAAAGTGAGCAGGAAGTGACGGTACATTTAAATGACAGACCAACATTTGGTTAAAAGGATACATTATAATAGTAGTAATTGTAAATATAACAAAAGCAAATCAAAGTTAACGGAAAGAAAGCAAACTTATTAGCGTTAATAGAAAGCACAAATTCAAATTAACCAACAACAAAAGTAATTTTAATTTTCGTTACCTGCTTAAGCAAGAGAACAGAATACAGTATGTATATTTTTTAAATAAATTTCAGATGACTTTACAAAAATTGAAATGGGAAAAGAAGAAAGAAAAAAAAACAATAAAATAAAGAAAATGAATGAAAAGTAAGTTGCACACAAACGCATACGAACCGAACACGAGCCCACAACTCTACACATCAGCTCCCTGACGACCCTTTTTGCGCCGCTGATGCTTGGTGAGAACTCTCTCCTCGACCGGTTTATGCTCTAATTTTACAGCGGCCAATTCGTCTTGGTGATGTACGGAATGGATTTTACCATCAGTCGTCTTAACACAGATTCTACCATCCGTGGTCCAAACCATATGACGACCAAAGTAATCCTGGCAAGCTTTGAAAACCTCTAAACGTTTTTTCGATAGAGACTGTGTGATTGACACATCAGTACCTTTTAAACGTTTTTTATTCCACCAAACGAAGCTACGGTATTTATACCCAATAAATTTAACAATAACAGGACGGGGTCACTTCCATTTTCCGTTCGGACCCCCCAGACGATGACAGCGATCCACAAACGATCCATCTGGCACCCAGCCGCCAATGTTCAAGTTTTTTATAACATTTAAAACCGCATTCTCCAAATCAACATTCTTTTCCATTTCACTCTCCTTAATACCGTGGAAAATTAAACAATTTCTCCTGGAATAGTTTTCCAGGTTATCAATTTGCTTACAATTTTCAGCAATTTGTTCCTTAAAATATCTGACAGAGCAAGTATAGAGCGCTGGAAATTAAGAAAATCTTCTTTAAGAAGATCTCATGGGGACACGACTGACGAATTCACTATACCACCGGAACCAGAGACTTCCTCCAAGCGCTTATTAAAAGTAGTCATCATACTATTGAAATTATCTTCCATAGCAGAAAGTAATTCCGTATTTACGTTAGCCATGATGGCGAGAACCAGCTATGCGGAGGGAAAAAGAGAGCTAAACCAGTTTGTTAACACAATCCCGTCACAATACGATGAAATACAGGAAATTATAATCCAATTTATAGATTAAAAGAAAAGATAAACAAACGCAGCTCGCACAGTAATCAACACTAAAACATTTTTTTCTTTTTTTAAATGAATCAGGTCGTAGTCTGGGTTAATCACGTAAATATTAAATAACTTAGCGGGACCGGTTCGAGCACACGCGCTTAGCTGGACATATCTGACTCGAATGAAAATAAAATATAATAAATTATAAATTTAGGGAATTCTTGCGAGTAAACGGGATTATTCATAAATTAACAGCACCTTATAATCCATCTACTAATGGGTTAGCTGAACGGTATGTTAAAACCTTGAAGCAAACACTTCGAGCAATGAATAGCACATCCGCTACTCTAGAACACGATTTATGTAAATTTTTATTGCATTATCGGAAAAGTCCCCATAGTACCACAAAACAGAGTCTTTCAAAATTAATGTTCGGTCGAGAAATTAGATCGCGTTTAAATTTAATAAAACCAAATATTGAAAATAAAGACAGTCAAAGAACCAAAAATATTACAAGAATTTTTAATATTAAAGATAGAGTCGTAGCTCGTGATTATTTTTCTAAGAACAAATGACAATTAGGAACAGTTATAAAACAAATAGGTGAATTGCATTTCTTGGTGGAGTTGAATATTGGGACTGTTTGGCGCAGACATACAAATCAATTAATTAAAGTAGGATCAGAAACACCTAAAACAATTGAATTTCGTGTAACACCTTCTGATCGACAAATGGTTCAGAGTAAACTTTCGTCTGGGACTTCCATTAACGATATGCAGAGTTCAGGTACAACTAATAATAATAATAATAATGATACAAAAACAAATTAAAAGACAATAGATACTAATGTACAAAACGAAATTATTGTAATACCTGATTCGAATATTTTGCGTAGATCTGAACGTACGGAACGAGCGCCGGAAAGATACGGAATATCTAATTGAATTATTATTTTTTTTTTACTTATGTTCACTTATATTATTATTCATTTTATTTTGATATACAGCGTGTCCCGTATCTTCCGCATCAGAGCATTATATGGTTGTAGAATACATTATTCTGAAGCGATCTTTCTAATAAATTTTTTCGAAATGTTTATAATAACCGCACGGGAACTGTTTAACGACGACCAATAACGGACGACTTTGATTCATCGAAAAAGTTTATTTCTCTTTCCATGGCGAATCTATTGGTGAGTACACGTGGGAAACGAGTTATCATCGGTGTAGCGAACCGGCCGAGGGTGGCACCGATTACCTGAGTCTGATTTGCGATCTGCTGATTGGACGAAAAACAGTTCCTTTAAACAGTTCCCGTGCGGTTATTATAAACATTTCGAACAAATTTTATTAGAAAGATCGCTTCAGAATAATGTATCCTACAACCGTATAATGCTCTGATGCGGAAGATACGGGACACGCTGTATATTGTTAATTTTAGGTTCAAATTGATTTATGTAAAAGAATTTATATTCATTCTTTTTGTTTTGTAATTCAATACATGTTACTTTTTTTTAACGAGGGAATTAGTTTTAATACATACATACATTCCTACAAAAATACTATAGTAAGTGTGGTACGTCAGGATGTCGATTGTACTTTGCTCTATTACAAGTGTCGCAAGATTTAATAACTTGTGTAATGGTATTTTCCATTTTTGGCCACCAAAGTTTTCGCTTTAAGTGCTCCAAGGTTTCTTGTATTCCTCTATGATTAGTAAATCCTGTGTGGTATTCTCTATAAATTGAAATTCTTCTTTCTTCCTCTGTAATAACTTCTGCTCTACGGAAACATCTAATAACTTTTGGACCTTTGTTAGATATTTCTTTGGTGTAGACATTACACATTGTGCGATAGAGCTGTTCATCTGTTGTGTATATGTAAAAGATTTTCTTATTGATCATATAATTTTTAAATAAATTTCAAATGTGGTTGTATTGATTTTCCGTTGGAATGCTTACGAGATGGATTTCACATTCGTCTCTGTTTTTGATTTTGACTTCTAAATCTTTTTCAAGACTTGATGTAATAATGAATTGTTTCTTTTTATTATCTAAAATTGTATCTTGAATTTCTATAGAGTTGTTCGGTTCTTGAGTTTGAGTGGTGTGTATCGTATTAGAATCAGAGTTTTCAATTTCATTCGGTTTACTCTTTGGTTCTATTAAGTCGTTTGATTGTTTTGATGGAATATCTGTGATTTTTATTTCCTTTTTCCTATACCTTGTCCAACTTTTGAAACGAGTTTATGGGAACGAAATAATGGAAAATCACAAATTTTCGTTGTGAAATTTCTATTTGTTTCTGCACTATCCCTTGTCCAGTTTTTGATACAGGTAGTAGTATAGCTATGGGCGTTCTGGACCAAAATTCCATAAGATTTAACATTGGGGTCGAAAAGTACTTTTTATCCCCACCACTACCTCCTTTCGAGGGTGTAGCCACGCCCACATTTTAAATTCAACCAATCAGAGCGCAGCATTCTCCAAGAACCCTCTTTTTGGCGGGAAATTTAAATGAGGATCGACAGGCCTTATGATGATGACGTCATCATCGAGGCCGGACACAAAGCGTTTGGTTTGGCTTACCGGCTGAGTGCTCTGGTGCGGGGTGCGGGCGGGCAGGGCAGGGTGGTTCAATCAGAGCATAGCATTCTCCGAGAACCCTCTTTTAGGCTGGGGATTGAATGAGGCTACCGCCTTATCACGATGACGTCATCGTCGATATATCGAGGCCTTGACACATCCGGACACGAAGCGTTTGGCTTGAAGGTTATAAAATGGTAAATATCTCGTTAACGNGCCTTGAAGCAAATGCTTTACCATTGTACAAAAACGCACCCATGAGCATGAAAACGATTAAATATTTAAAAATCTATAGTTGTAAAATTTGGTCTATAAATATACATAGATTTCTTCTTCTGAAGTTTGCATTTTTATTTAATAATATTTTATTAGTTGTTTTTAATAACAAGTCTAAAAAAATCAGTGTTTTCATCTTAAAACTTGTTCAAGTTTTGAGATGACAATTTTTGATTTTTTGGAACTTATTATTAAAAAAAAATTTAAAAAGTAATGAGATTTTTATTTAAACGAGCATTCAAATTCCCGCTCGAATTTATCGATCGACTACACTACCGCCATCTACACAGTTTCAATTCTCTAGAGAGAGATAGAATATGAGGTCCAAATGAGAGCGGTATAAGTTAAGCATCTGGTAATCTGTGGTCGTTTTAGTCTCTTCTCTTCTGGTTCCTCCATCGCATCGCTGCGTGACTTCTAACATATTTTTTAAATTCTTCTTAACGTTTTTTGGCCTTTTTCTAAGTTAGAAGTCTCGCAGCCTATGCCACGTCGGTTTATCTTCGTATCATTGTAAGTTTTCCCATAATTTATTATATTTGTTAGTAATTATTTATTTTTAGATTTAACCTCTTATTTAGTTACCGGTCTTCAACCATTTTTATCCCGTTTGACCTTCAAAATTTTATTACGCATAAATTTTTTAAAAAACATTTCAACATGTTCATATCTTTATTATTTTTCTATAACGAATATTTTCTCGCTTGTGTACATCTCTAAAAAATTTTGACTGTAAGTTTTATATGTTAACATTTTCGTTCTTCTATTTTTTAAAATTTTTTTAAAAATTTTTAGTTTCGACTGATGATGAGGTAACACCTCGAAACTAGTATCGAAGTAAAATAACAATAAATTTGCAAGTAAGAGGTTACTATTTTTGTTTTTCATTAAATTTAATTACCTTGCAACATGGATAATCCTAATATATCACAATATATTCAATTTTAAGCCTTATTCTTTAACAAAACTTAATTTTTACAAGAAGTCTAATAATGATTCAAAAAATTTAATTGAAACTTCATCAAATCTTCAAATTTTAATAAATTATTTGTATTTATTTGATGAAACTTCACCAAAACTTTAAAATTTGAGAATTAAAAATGTGAAATCTTAATAACTTCAATGATAGCGATGTTATTTTATGAAACTTCATCAAAAAAGTTAATGTTTTAGTAAAAATTTGAATTTAATGCGAAAGAATCACCTCAAAACTTCAATATTTATCCCAATTTTGGGTTATACGTCAAGAAAACTTTGATAAAATCAAATCAACTTCATCTAACTTGTTATAATTTTAATTTTTTTATAAGAAGTTTAATAATAATTCAAAAAACTTCATTTAATCATCAAGTTTTAATAAATAATAATAATAAATAATTTGTATTTATTTGATGAAGTTTCACCAAAACTTTAAAATTTGATGATTAAAATCGTAAAAACTTCAATAATATCAACGATTTTTTTTTAAACTTCATCAATAAGGAAATTTAATGAATGAAGATACGTAAAAGCTTTAATTTTTAGAAACAACAACAACAGATATAGAAACAACAACAGATGTAGAAACAACAACCGATGTAGAAACAACAACTGATGTAGAAACAACAACAGATATAGAAACAACAACTGATATAGAAACAACAACTGATATAACAACTGATTTTACAACTGATATAGAAACAACAACAGATTTTACAACTGATATAGAAACAACAACAGATGTAGAAACAACAACCGATGTTATGGAATCATTAATATGAACTTTCAATCAAATTAAAAAAACTTTATTATAATAAAATTTTAGTTTTGATCACGAAGTTTAATGTTAACCCGAAAATTTCATCGGAACATAATAAAATCTAGGAAACTTTATGAAAACTTCAAATTATCTAATAAAACTTCATCAAAATGTTAAAAATGTATTCGAAGGAGGAATATTTTCGTCTTGAGAGACTTAAGGCTAAACCAGAATGTTTTCAGTAATCGGTCTAGTGTTAGTTCTAGTTTTAGTGCAATAAAAATATGCAACATAGTAATATAGCTTTATACTAGTTCTAGTTTTATATTAGCAGTAGAACTAACAAAAGACATAGAACTAGAATCATTCGGATTTAGCCGCACGTCTCTCTTAAAAACCTTAATAGTCGCTATTTACCTGGTTATTATCTAACATACATGACGTCGACTGAAATGTAAAACGGTAGCGATATATAATATAATATATATGGGAGGGAATAAAAGTCGCATAAGCACCATCTATGTTCCAATAGTTCATACATAAATTTCAAATAACGTCCAATGAGAGACGAAGGTGACGCTCGTATGATATAATATATTTCACAGTCCCCTCCTTCTCACAATAAATTTTACAACTATTATAATAATAATAAAACTACAATCAATTTTTTATTTAAAAATTATTACATTTACGACTTAAATACAAGTAGCATTATGTTGATTACATAAAAAATTTTGTAAAATTAATGCATTGTTTTGTGAACATACTGCTGGAGAGCCGGTGTGGAACCAACATTGATTGGTGGTTGAATTTAATTTAACCCCATCCTCTTCCGCAAATTCCAACGCAATATCAGTTATTAGTATTGAATTGCTGTTACGTATTTCCAAAAACTGCTTCTTTTGATTTCCCTTAACAAATATTTGATCGTAGGAGGAAATTATGGTATAAATAAAAGAATATTAAATAGGACACGAAGCGTTTGGCTTGGAGGTTATAAAACGGTAAATATCTCGTTAACGATGCTTCAAATCGAAAAATAAACTGAAAAATTATCCCCTACAAACCCCCGTCGCCTATGACAAGCACGAACAATATGGCACGGGTGAAAACTGCCAAAACGGCCTTATTTAGTTATCGAGCTGATGACGTCATTCCACCGGACATGTGAACACAAAGCGTTTGGCTTGGAGGTTATAAAATGGTAAATATCTCGTTAACGATGCTTCAAATCGAAAAATAAACCAAAAAATTCCCCCCTACAGCCCCCAATCGCCTATAACAAGCACGAACAATATGGCACGGGTGAAAACTGCCAAAAGGGCGTTGGTTCAACCCCTGTTCAACCGGTTGAATACCGGTTCAACCCCTGTCCCCCCCTAAGACCTAGCCTGGATAGATCATGATCTACAGCCCGCGCCCCGAACCCCGCACCTATCCGGTTGTCTATGGTGTTGAAGCTGATGATTACGTAATGTTGCGTAATATTATAAGTAAAATTGTTAAAGTTTATTAATTAAGATAATCCAGAAGACATAAAACGTGCAAGTATAAAAGATTTTTTAAAATTAATAAATAATTCTGTTTTTTGGAACAATGATGGGAATCGATGATGAATGGGTTGACGTGAGAGGAAATTAAATAATAATTTATTAAGGAAGTAGAGGGGGGCCGCAGCTACCTATCAAATTTACCTAGCAATTTATAAATCGGTCAGTTGAACATCAACTTCCGTCGTTTGCGGATTTAATATCATGTAAGTGTGGGAATTCTTCGATTATCACGTTTGTTATCTCAAGGTCACGCGCTAGATTGTTATTGCAGAGCCCGGACAGTTTAGGAAACGTGCGCCCCCTCCACATTAAACGTATACCTTGATAAGCGTACGCTTCGATTTAATTCATTGAATATTGAGACTGGACTGGGAGGCGTTTTAGAATCACTTTCCTAAACTGTCTGGGCAGTTTACATGCATATAAAAATAGGATTTTCTGCTAAAGCGTAAATTAATATTTAACATTCACATCATCTTCATATCATCATTATTTAAGTGTTTACCTTAGCTATCCTTTGATATGAAGTCCCTCCCCTGATATAAGTGTAGTCATTTTCGTAATTGCCCGAATGAATATGGTGTTGAAGCTGATGATTACGTAATGTTGCGTAATATTATCATAAAACGTGCAAGTATAATGTGTATGTTGCATATATAAATTTAAAAATAACTTTAAAAATTGTGATGACACTTGCAATTATTTTTAAACAATCCTATATGTTTATCAAGGTCACCGGCGTATTAACTCATGTCCACACGTAGGGTTTCTATATTATAATTAGCTTCCCCTTAACAGATAATTTATTTTCGATTTAATGATTATCAAAAGTTATTTCCCAATTATAATAATTATCAAAACTTGTTTCTTTAATTAAAATGTGTATATAAGGCTTTGATATTAGACAAAAACTTATTAATATCCTGCATCTCATGCGAGAAGTTATAACCGCAATTTTCGCTGTTCTAGAATGGCTTCAACATCAGTCAAAACCCTGTCTTTTTCAAGACTAGTTGAGGAAATGCGTCATAGAGTTGTAACTGCTGATGGGGAAGATATAGAGCCCGCAAAAAAGGACTGTAATCGTAGTATTAAGGTGATGAACGCTGCGCTAAAGGTAGCCAACACAAGTGGTGAGAAGCACCACATAACCACTTGTGCTGGTCACATGCATGGATTCCGAAGCATGCTAAAATTGCTCCGGTACGTAACTGGGACCGGGTACAAACCAACTAACCCGACTCGCAAAAACTTTAGAAGCTTGCGGGTAAAATGGCAAGACCTTCAGACGGCGTTCTCCAACAGAATGAGAACGGGGATCATCATTAACCTGACCCACAAGGACCCTCGACAATTTATGGAAGATGCTAAAAAAATGATAATAAGGAGAATGACTAATGATGTGAAAAAATCAACATTGAAAATTAACGCTGTGTTTTGTGGTGAATTCGTAACTAAGAAAATGGGAAAGGAAGTATTTGAATTTAAATATATAAATACTAGAAATGTCGCAATTTATAACAACACCAATTTAGAAGAATGGTTTAAGAGCAACATTCAAGACCCCGTTCTAAAAGACCTTGAAGAATTTCAAGAAAAAGATAGTGGATGGGCTTTAAATGCGATCGTAAACCTACAGATGAACATTAATAAATATACCCCACAACTTGGGTCGTCATACATTGAATTACCTAGGGCCCTTAGGTTGAAACATGCTTGTGTAAATGTAAAGAACGATGATGAAGCTTGTTTTGCGTGGGCAGTGACTTCAGCGCTTTATCCAGCCAATCATCACACCGACCGAACTTACATGTATCCACATTACTCAGAAGTTTTAAATATGAAGAACATAGCAATGCCGATGGTCATGAAACAAATCCCTCGGTTTGAACAACAAAACGATGTGTCGGTCAACGTGTACATTCTCGAATCACTAAAGAAGGGGCGGTATAATGTAGTTCCTTCCTATCTAGCTAAGGAGAGGAGAGGCAGACACGTTAACCTGCTACTCATCCAAGATAAGTATGTAGAAGAAGAAGATGGGGATGATGATGGTGAATTCAAGCCGAGATTTCACTACGTTTGGATAAAAGATTTATCCCGACTAGTGTCATCTCAATTATCGATACATCATACGAAAAAATATTTCTGTGAACGTTGCCTTCACTATTTTTACACTTCCACCGGTCTAGAAAAACACGTGGAGGATTGTGCTAAAATGAATGAATGCCGCATCCGTATGCCGAAGGAAGGTGAAACGGTATATTTCAAGAATTTTCAAAATAAAGAACCGGTTCCATTTGTGGTGTATGCGGATCTAGAATGTCTTCTGATACCAACAACAAAGACTGATACACAACATAAGCCATATAGTATTGGTTATTACGTAAAATGCTCATATGACGAGTCCCTGAGCTTTTACAAATCATATGCCGGTGAGAACTGTCAGCAGTGGTTTGCGACCGAAATGAAGCAGCTAGCGGAAGATGTGGAAACTATATTCCTATGTCCCTTACCCATGGAACCCCTTACCGAACCGCAAGAACTGGAGTTTCGCTCATTATCATGCTGTCATATATGCGAAAACCGCTTTGACGTAGGTGACGTCAGAGTTCGAGACCATTGTCACCTTACTGGTAAATATCGAGGAGCTGCGCATGAGGATTGCAACATTAACTATCAGGATAGTCACGTGATTCCAGTAGTCTTTCATAATTTAAGTGGGTACGATAGTCACTTTATTATAAAGAATTTAGCAAAAGATTTCGAAGGACGCATCGATTTGCTACCTATAAATAAGGAGCGATATATTTCTTTTACTAAAAATATAGACCAAAATTTAATTAAATTCCGGTTTATTGATTCATTTCGGTTCATGGCATCGAGTTTAGATAAATTAGCAAGTTATATAGATTCCTTTCCAAATTTAAAAACACAATTTCCAAATTTAGATGAATCTAAATTCAATTTATTAACGCGTAAAGGAGTGTTTCCTTATGATTACTTGGACTCTTTTACAAAATTAAATGAAACTGCATTACCGGATGAATCTAAATTTTATAACTCTATGACTGACAGTCACATTACAGATACTGATTATGCGCATGCTAATCAAGTGTGGAACGCTTTTGGCTGTCACAATTTAGGAAATTACAGTGAGTTATATTTGAAAACAGATATTTTATTATTAGCAGACGTATTCGAGCAATTTCGGGCTAGCTGAACTTCAATGTACCTGAGGATAACCCTGAAGGTTACATTTTAGAAGTTGATCTCGAGTTCCCCGAATCCATTCATGATTCACATTGTGACCTTCCATTTTGTCCGGAACATCGCACACCACCAAATTCAAAACAAACCAAATTAATGGGCACTTTATATAATAAAGAGCGATACGTGTTGCATTATCGTAATTTACAACAAGCGATTGAAAACGGTTTAATTTTAAAAAAAATTCATCGTGTTTTGG